CTTGTTAAGTATGTTTTGACTCTTGATATGAACCTACGAATTATCATGTGGTCTGGTCGAGACACACTGCCGAAAATATTGTATAGGACTTAATTATTTTACTGACACTGAAAAGGGTAAGCAAGTTACTGAATTGATCATTGCGGTTAGAACACCGAAAATATCTCTGCCACCATACACCACGATTTTGTGGTGAAATGTGTTTTGATTTTATTAGAGGGTTCTCGTGTTGTTTTATTCCTACTGGTAAACAACTTATAAAATAAGTTATCGATAGCTGATAATGGTTTTATTTTAATGATTTTAAGAAAAGATTAAAATAGTTACAAGTTACAAAAGAAAATAATTTCATGAAATAATGTGGTTACTAAGGTGTTACTAAGTTCTTCAAGCTTACCATCCTGCCGTTTGCCAGATTAAGAAATATAAACAAAGGAAAGCATTTGCAGTATTGAAAAATAAGTGTAAAAGTGAAGCAAGTAAATAACACCGAATAAATGGCGTGGTAAATCAAAGTCGACATGTTCTGCATGACTTGTCTTCCCTTGGCCACCTGACCACCACGGTTCATAGTATTGATGGCTAACTCATCCTTCTGTGGACTGTCTAATCCTACTGCCACTCCGTTTGTGCTACAGAAAGTCAAAAATGAGCTTCTCACTTTGAAAACAGCCAGACTCTACAAACATCACAAACACTTTTGCTGGGTTCAACAAGAACATGACAGTGTTTTGTTGGACGTTTTTAAAAGTAGTACCGCTGTACATGTCAATCAATCATTGACAAGCCCACTGTGACACACAACCAATCATTGACAAGCCCACTGTGACACGTCAACCAATCACTGACAAACATAAGATTGTTTTGTGGCAAAGATATATTTGTAGGAATAGAAATCCTCATTAAAGATTGTAAATTGATATTTCATTTTCGGGGGGGGGGCAATGTTTAGACACGATTATGAAAGATAAGTATTTTATACTGGCTTATACAAATTAAAAAAAATCATTGATTTACTGCTGTGATAATTTGCATAATTAAATGATATGTGTTTAATTATCTCATGCATAACAGTGTGATGAAATGCAGGATGGATAACAAATACATGTCGAATAATTAGACATCACATCCTGTCATACTCATTATACACACTACCTAAATCCTGCAGGTTTGTATACGGCCTCATAACTACAGTATGTACTTAAAAATGGAACATGTTGGCATGCTTATGTGTTGGTTAAAAATTAAATAATGTTTGAGCAAATATCCAGACTCGCTACACAGCATACATGAGGCATTCTGTGAAATAGAACACAATAGCATCAACAAAATTAGCATATAGGTATGCATTAAATGATATAATTATCTGTATTTGGTATTATGTCACTTTGCCATTTCACTTTTTTGAGCTGCGGAAATGTGCATATGATAAATATGTTGAATTGATACAAGTTATCACTTGTTGTCTGCTGACATCAACCTAAAAGAAAAATATATTTATAAAAATATAAATAATCTGAACTATTTGATTATCAATGTACTAGTTTAGTTGTCAACTTTAAGCGTTAGTCAAAGTATATAGTTTTAGGTTGGATCATTATTATTAGTTTCAACTCTTAAAATGGACCAGTATATTTATTTGTACTCGTCTAGATTAAGTACTAGTAAAAAAAAAAAACTTGTTTTCAGCAGATGCGGGATGAAATAGTGTAAATTATGAAACT